ACTGAGTTGTGGTAATTTCAGTTAATTTGATACGTTTTTTCTCATGATATGTATACTTTATTAATTCATATGGAATTTCCTTATCTATAGATCAAATACATGGTCCTGGTATCATTACTTGGGTGATGCAATTTATCAATTTATTTATTTGTTAACTTTTTACAAATTAAGGACAATGGTATCAAATGTATTACTAATACGGAAATTCGCAATTTTCTGTATCATGAGAAAAAAATGTATCAAATTTCAAATTAACTGAAATTACTATTGCATGCAAAAATGAAATTTAAGAAACCAATTGGAAAAAGCCACATAATTGGCAGAGTTAGAAAATAAACCCTTGGTGCGTCTCTGCTTGTTCCTTTTTGTGTCGTGCATGAATATGAAATCTGTGTGAATTTCGTACCCAAACCTCTCGCCCACTCACACAAATTTGATCCCATGCACAATTGTAAGCATGTTGTAGATGTGTGTGCGTATGTGTACACCTCCCAATTGCATACAATTAGAGTTCCCTAAAAGTCATCTCTGAAAAAAAAATAAAATGAGCAAATCTGATATTGATGATTACATGTGTCAGATTTAATCAAGTTTCCTCTGCAACACGCAGTTGCATGCTAAATGCTATTGCAACCCATAACTGCGGAGCTGCCCATACCACAGTTATAGGGCCCCCGCATGTTGGAAGACTTCAGACAAGTGAAAGGCTTTAACTGCCTCCTTGACAATAATGCAATACCATCATAAACCTGAGAGCCCAGTACCTCCCCCTGAAGTTCAATTGCATTATATATTGTTGGAGGGACAAGTCAGAATTAGCCTTATGTGCTCAAGGAATAAGAAATGGTTTAACTATAAGTTTCCAGTAATCAAAATTGTATATTAAATTGTTTGATGTTTCCGTGTTTCCAAATTATCCAAGTATCTATGAGATAGAGATCTCTAATTAATATTGATAACAAATAATACTAACAATCATAATCTTGTGTATTTGCTCTCAAAAAATAGTTGTTGCAAAGAATGTTGAATAAATACCTATCATATAAAAGACTACAAGTTTTGCTCCACGTTTATTTAAGCTATTATATAAAAAATAAAGGCATAACAAACAAATGAGTAAAATTAAAAATAAAAAAAAGACGCGTAATGTGTGGAGAATAGTAAATTTATAACAAGTTTTGTAATCGAGGATGTGCAAGTAAGCAGAGAGAACACAAAATTTTAACCCACGCAATTTGTTAATTGACCAATTAAAATCGTGAATTTGATAACGTAGGAATAAATATGGGTTTGATTCATTTTGTCAACAATCACTTCACCAACAATTATTTTGTTGACGAATTTAAGAAGTTGGAAGTAACCACACGACAAACCATTGAAACAGTCTAATAAATTAAATCGTACTACTCGAAACTGTATTTAAAGGATTGGTTTAATGGTACTCAAATACCAGTTAATAAATAGTGCAAGGAAATGTGTTTTTCCTGAACCCTAGATATACATATAAGGCATAAAAATAAGCATCCATGTCAATCATTATATCCGAAGAAAAAAATATTATTGACTTAATAATTACTGGGGGCCCCCAAACTATTTGAAGTCTTCGTTCCAATAAGCTTGCGGAAAATTCCTTTTGCGACGGCGACATTAAAAAGCTATCCCGAAGTTCTAATGCCATTTTCTTAATATCTTTTAAATCTTCATCCTCGCATATTAATTTTTTGGCTCCCCATGCATTTGGATCTTTCAATAATTGCTAAAAATATCAATAAATATTAATGTATAATTTCACAATATGTGTATGTAAATATGTATGTATGTATCTAACAAATTACCAAAAATATGGATTCTTCGCATTCATCAATTTCAGATAGTACTTTTAAAACTTTATCCAAATTGAAATCAACATAACGTTTGTATAATCTATACTTGGAACCCACATTTAGGCTTTTTTTAATATAGCCTTTCAAATTAATTATTTTTTTATCTGGATTGCTATAATCAATATCATGTATAGAGACAACTGTAAATGCAAAACCAAATATTGTATTCCTATATTTCATATCTGGAAATTTGATTGCTTCCAAAATACCCTGAATTTAAATAATAGTTTAATAATAAATAATAATAATTATATATAAATGTATGTATGTATTTACTACCAATGATAATTATAATGATTATGGTAATTTAAAATAGATTAATGGATAATTATAAATAGTATACCTTCATTGTATCTTCTACTAAAATAAATTCTTTTAAATTACTTTTTTCTAACAGACTACCCACTTTTCCATCACTCAATACATCAAAACGCATTACCCATTCACTACCACTTTTATTAATAAACTTGTCTAATTGTAACAAAATCCCATTTTTAGCTTCATCTGAAACATAATCTGCAAATCTTCCCGATCTCACCTGCTTACTTTCGGTGATTGCTTCATATTGTTTGAAAAAATAGATTTTTCCTAAATAATCGTTTTTAAAAGATCTTATTTCTGCAAATTTAAATGGTGATGGCGCGAACAATAACTTTGAAGAAATGTCATCAGTATATTCCTTTAACAACATATAATATACTTTTATAACAGCGTTCGCAAAATCATTTCTTAATAAATGTGCTTTATTTAACCCGATTACTTCTTCACATTTACTAGAAATCCATGAAGAATAAATTTCCTCCAAGTCAATATTTTTGGCTTGTTCATTTAATAACTCTAATAGTTGTTCATCCTCAAGTTTAGGCCTCACCATTTGTTCCCAAACATCAATCAATCGATAAAATCCTGGCACATGAATTGCAATATTTTCCCTGATAGCTTGTTCAAGAATGATCACACGTAGAAATTCACTTGATTCACCAGAAAGTTCAGGAATTTCATTAATTTCACTATTTCTAGAAGCTAATAATAGAGAAGAATCCTCAAATAAATTAAAAAGACATCTTGCAGCTAGATGCCCCACTGAACTAGGCACCAGATTTGAATCCATGGATAAAATCTTTAATAAAGAATCTTTGATTGTATTTTTTTCTTGTTCAGAATATACAAAAATGCAAGCTCTTGATTTTTCTTTAGCAAGATATTCAAAACATTTTGCCAATTTAGTTACAAACTTTTCCATTAAATCAACAAATTTTCTACCAAATGCATCATCTTTTGAAATTATATCTGCGTGACGATAGCTTTGAATTGGTTTTCCATCACTTGTATAAATGCAAATAGCCCATCCAAAAGAT